GGTACTGATGCCTTCCAGCAGAGGCAGGCAGTTTCCTGGCCAAAATTACGACTTATTACCTTGTCAGATTTTAACCCCTTCAACTGTCACAGAACATAGAGTGTCCAGGGGAACTAGACTGGTCCCCCTTCCGTACCTAATGGGGTGTGATCTTTGTATCATGCACATGTGACCATGTATATATTACAAGACGGCAATCCGCCGGTCTTCTTGGTTAGCTACTGAACGCATTGATGCAAGCTACAAAATATGACAGTCAAATAAATTGTCTCAACCATGGCATTTGGTTCTCACTCAAGTACAAAGCTAAACCTCTTCTCCAGCACCATGCTAAGACAAAATTCACGTGTAAATTACCTGCCTTTGCCAAAGTTGCAAAGGATGAAGGAAGAAAGTAAGAATTCATGCTTCAATCAAGTCAATGGTGACATCATAAAAGACTCAGTGTGTCTGCTTCTGGTTTAGTTTCAACCAAAACAAAAAGTTCTGGACTTTTTTTTTGGTGGTAGCATCCCCATCACAGCTGCAGGGTTTTGGCAAACCGTGGGCATCAAGTGTGTTTGTACTGATTATTCAGCTTCTCCAACAGTAGTCATCCGATCAGAACGGGCTCCTGAGAGGTATTTGCGTCTTTGACTCCCGAGGCCGTTGTGTCACTGGATGGAAGTTTGGGGCCCCCACAGGCTGGTTAAGTGGATGAGACCTTTTCCTGCCTCCCTGTACAAACAACACTTAAAGAGAAGAAAGAGGTGACTGTTCTGCTGATAGTTTGCTTCCCGTTATGGCTCATCCAAGTCTTTCACACAAGCTGCACAAAAGCGCACTTTCTTTTTAAGTTGTCATCATCATGGACTTAATGACCTCTTCAGTACGTTTGGAAAAAAAAACTGTTCTTGGGGAGCTTTATTCACATTTTTAGATTGCAAATACACATGTTTTTTACACTGTATGGATGCACATTTTTACAAACGGTCACCTTTGTTGTTGTTTAAAAAAATTCTCCTGTGGTGAAGTGAATCTAGTATATATTGGTGCCCACCATGTCCGCAAATTCTAAGAAGGATCGTTCCCACAATGTTTCTGTGGTTTTTTCTACTTCGTGGTCCTCGACTCATTTCCTCGAATAGAGGAATGTGTCTGTCTGGTCTTCTGCAGTGGTTTTAATAACTCAGTGATACATGATGTCCTCTGTACTATTCTATTTCCAAATCATGAGTTCATCAATGTCTATTTTTTTGTCTTTTTTTTCTTTGACGTAAAAAAAGCTGTGAAGATCGAGGTTACCCGTACTAGAAGCACTCCCAAAATGATGTCTAGCAAAGAAAAAAGGAGTCTTGATTATTTGAGAACAATTTATTTTGCCAGTGCGAAAGAATCCCCACCTATTGACAGAGTTTCAAATGCACTATACCGGTAATTTGTTTTGAAACCTTGGCTTGTAGATGCTTAATTGGCATATTGGTTTACAACTTTTCCAATGCTACCGTGGTTATTTTCATGATGTCTTTGATTCATAATGTGTCATGCAGTATGTCCCGTAAGACCCCTGCCATTTCAATAGGTTGTTTTGAATCACACCATTTTATTGAGGGAAGGTAATTATCCGTCCTTGAAACGGAAGGGAGGGCTTTTCTTGTCCACACCAGCAGTCGTAGTCTAGATATGCAGGTGTCACACTTACCCAAAACCTATGGCACTAAGTTTTGGGACACAAATGAACGACGACAGAATGCCAAATGATGAAGTACCACCCCCCTGTAGGTGACTGTTGTACAATTCTTGTAGCGCCCTCAGAGCAGATAAATACACGTAATGTGTAAATAAGAATCTGTTAATCGTGCAGACATGCATAGTATTATGTACAGCATTCTGTGGAGGCCAGGGGCGGATCCCCGATTTTTCAAAAGGGGAGGGGGGCATGATGGAACTAAAGCAGCAATAGTAAAATACCTCTATGGCTTGGGGTCCGGAGCCATTTTTGGATTCTAGGCGCTTTGTGGTGCAATTTCAGGCAGTGTGACCCATCTTCTGGTTCTTCTCCCTCCCTCTTTTTCTTCTTTTTTATTGCGTCCCCCATGTCCTCCCCCCTCCCAGACCTGTCCCAGCATGCATCTGTTGGCTGGATATGTGAACAGCAGATGATATGTGTCAGCAAATTGTGGACAATTTTATGTCCCTTTTAAATGACAACACGGGGGGTGCCTGTGAATTTTTGATTGGCTTCTATCATCTTTCACAGCGGATACTCAGCTAAGCAAAAGTTGAAACAATGTGATACCCAATTGAAACAATGCAATACCCAGTTGAAACAAGTCATACTGATTGCAAACAGCGGCTTCCTGGCCTCTTTTTTTTCCTTTATCAGTGAGGACATACATGTACTTGTTAAAGGAGCTGATAGCATTACATGCACGAGTAGGTAACTGAGTGACCTCATTCAGTGTGGATGTATCAATAACCTGACAGGATTCAAACCCTTGACTTGTTGTAAGCATGGGACTGCTTGATTGCTAACTGCACTGAGTTCTTGTGGAGCAGTGAGTATGGGCAGTGTACTGTACGTGTACTGTACGTACAGGCTCTCATGTACAAATCCTAGTGGCCCTTTTGTAGGATCAGGAAGCCTGTAAGGTATGTATATAAGCATGCCTCGAAAAGATGTCTTTGATGCCAAAATTCTTTAAAGGGCATTTTTTTGGGGGGGTTGAAGATGAGATATAAGTTTATTCACGTTGCTTTCTCTTGCAGCAAGCTGAGAGTGCTGCTAAAGACAGGCTATTTGTTGGTACAAATACTGAAGAAAACATGAAGGAGAAATGAACGTTGACCTCTAACCAGATATTTTTATGGCTTCTATGCATTTCTTCACACCTCACTGACCATGCATGAAATTCTAATCTAACTCTGATCCCCTGTGAATGGGCGCCCTTTGTCACACTCCGTTGCTTTCTCGGGGATGGAAGTCATGACTGTTTGTATAAACAGGCATTTAGAAACCAAAAAAACCCCTGTTTCCTCAAGCAAGATTGAGGAGAGGTTTCCTTTTTTTTCTGAAGATTAAGGTATGTACTAGTACATGTACATAGTGAATCAATGCTGTAAAAAGCATCCGATTTACATGTACCCTCCCATTCCCAACTTTTCAAGTTGTAGTGTCCTTTTTAGCTCTTCTCTTCATGGACAATGACACAAAAAATACTTATGGAATATTTGTTGGGATTTTCTGTGGGTATTTAGGACAAACTGCCCTTTCAGGACCCCAATTACCGTGGTTAAGCCCCCAGGCTGGGCCTTTTGTGCTTTTCAGCCCTGACCTCGGGACACAGGAGAAATACTTCCAAATAAAAATTGTCAACAGCAATCAGTTGTTGGAATTTATAGAGAGATGTAAAGTGTAAGATACAACAGAACCTTCGTGGACCCAGGGACTTAAGACTGGGAGGCAAGTTTCTGATCGGGTTTATGGTACAGGAAGACTGGTATTAACATGCTGTTGTGGAAGCTTTACAAGATGGAATCAATTTTCACATGATGTTATTCGCATGGAGACCTCATTCTGGTGAAGTTTGGCTGACTTAATCTGATGGTAAGATTGGCCTCATGTATTGTACCCTTTCAATAAACAGAGGTCAAATTTATGCCTGGGGTTGGAGATGTTATTCCATATTTTTGTTAATTAAAAAAAATCATGTATTATTTTTTTTTTGATGAGGAGAAAGGATAGAGTTATATCCTTGTAATACAAAACTTTTGTTGCCAAAACATCCACCGTAGACTTTGTTGGTAGCCTAGGGCTTCAAGCCATGATGCTTTCATATATTTGTAAACAGTCTTTGGACCTTTCAGTGTGGTATCGCTGTTCTTCTCTCATTCATCAAAAATTGTTTGATCTTTGGGACATTTCGCCCATTCCTATTCACCACCAGTACGTACATGAAATCTGATCACCCCAACAAGTTTCAGTGTAAACACCACATCTTTAAATCTTACACCAGTCTCATGACCATCAGGTTATTAATACACAAAATTGGGGAGAAAGTTGTAACTGAACTAGTGAAAGCACACCAGCTGTGACTGCAAACAGTCACGCCCAGCCCACCCCTGCAGGGCATGGGTGACCACTAGACTGGCCTGAGCTAGTGGGACCCACTTATCTAAGAATACCTGCTCTTGAATCAATGTACCTATATAATCCTCTTGTATTGAGTGACAGGTCTATTACTGGCCCAATTATGGGCTCAAGCCCAGGTTTACCCCTCAGGGCCCAGGGAATATGAGCCCTTCTCCACAGCCCTGAACTTGAAGTGTTTGCTTTCCACTTGTGAAGTTACCTCTCATCAATGACGTTTCTTTTCATATATTTATTTTGTTGATGATTTAAAATCACTGACTTTTTCTTTTGAAAACAGAACTATTAAATTATATCTTTCTGAACATATGTATTTAAAAACTTTAAATATATGATATATATATTTTAAACTATATTTGCATTTTTAATTGCAAGTTCAGCTACATCCTGAAAAGTATTACTGTTTCAATTTCAGAATTGTATGCCTTTATATTCCATTCGATTAAATTTGATGGAAAAGGTAGCAGCACTTGAAAAATAGTGAAATAGTTCGTCTAGACCATTCCTCCATGTCTAGACATAGGAAAAATCCACACAGAAGGAAACGGTATGCCATTCCTTAATGTAAGTACCTGGTGTAGCATTTGTATCGGTAACAATTTAGCTTTAGATTAAATATTCTGTATCTTTCAAGTTCATGAATGGTAAATTTTCCATCTGAGAAGTTGGTTCCCTTATGAGTGTCTTTTGTTAGGAAAGAAGTTTCATTCCCTGTTTCCATAGCCACTCGCTGAAAGAACAAGCAGTAACTCCCCTGTTAATTTCCTCTAGCCCTCCCCTCCCCTGAAATATCTTTTCCCTTCCGGAGAGCTCCCCAGGAAGTGAATGGTTCATGCCATTCCAAGCGTTTCCTGCCTGTGCACAGTTTCTCACACAGGAGAAATCTCAGACACAGCACTCACTGCACGCTGTATTGGGTAGAGATACCTCACAACCCCGCACATTTACCCACAAGCACACACACCAGTTTGTAGCATTGGCTGGTCGAGACGGACTAAACCTATACACAGACCAAAAAAAGCCCAGGACAGAAATCATTCACACGCCCTGTGGAGAATATGTGTTAGCACAGCAATCCCAGGACAACACCTAGTTGCTGATGCAGAACACTGAACGTTGGCTGCAGTCCAGCTTCCCCAATCCTTGGAAGTTTCATAGACTGGGCACTCATGTTGATTGTTGACCCCCAAGGTCACCGAGACTCCAGCTAGGTAATTCAACTCTTTCAAGTCAGGGTAAGACTTTCATGTACTCTCAAAAGGCAGGTGCTTCTTGTTTCTAGATCTCTGTGCTTTTTTTGGTCGGTTGCCATTCACAAGCGGGCCTGTCTGTGATGCCCATTATTTGGTCAATGTTTCCTGCCCTCATTACATCTGACTTTCTTATGCTTTGTCAATGCATGGTGGATCAGTGGATGCCTTTCCTTTAATCCGAAATGTTTATGCAGTTAGTGCATTTTTGCCCAAGAGACACAGACCTAATGTCTTATTCAGACCAAAAAAAAACCCACATCAGTGGATGCGGTTCCTTTAATCCAAAGTTTGTCTGTTTTATTTTGACACACACTCATAATTTGTCTGGTCTTATCTTGTGTGTCATTGCTGAAGTGTTACAGAGGAGGGTGTGGATAGCTGAAGGCATGGCACTTGTCAAAGTGGCTTTTTCGTTCACAGTGTGTTGTTATAAACCAAAGCATTGGAGGTCTGCAAGAAACATCAGAACCTACAGGAGTACCATGTGATCACTGTAACCAAGAGTTACTTTTGGGGGAATTGTGCATGAATTTTCAGGCTGGGCACTTTGGTTGTTTCTTTAATTTCAGGATGAGTCATGAGCTGGCCATTTTTTGCCTTACATATGTGCAACATTAGGTGTACAAGGGAACGAGAGAGTTGAGTCAAGTACATTTGCAGATGTCAGGGAATAAGGGGCTGAACTGAATTGATTCAGTGTGAGTAGTAATTATTCTTAAATGAGACTCGGGATTATAATGAGCTTGAAAGGTGGTGCATTATTTTAAGGATTTGTGGAAACTAAGATTGAGGGAAGAATTTCCCATGCTGAGACTGTGCAGCCCTATACAGACTCCAGTACAATCTTAGTTTACTTGCACATTGTATATTTTGTTTCAGGGTGGTAGTGTAGCCCGATGGAATGAGGTGGGATTTGGTTGTGGTGGACTGGAGATTTTGCATTTAATTAAAAGCAATTTCAGGCAGCCGCAAATGCCATATCCAATTTTTTTTGGGGGGGTGGGGGAATACTATTTCTTTTCCCTTTCGGGAGGTGGGTGGGTTGATGAGGGAAGGGTAATGGATAATTTCAGAAATTTTGGGTCCAAAAGTGTGACATTTTCGTGTCCCTGTCACATCTGACATTTGTTAATTGACACGGAAATATCACCGAACTTGATTTCAAACGATTACTATTTGTTTGGCAGGTAATTTGCATTAATTCTTCACTCTTGAAAATTAAGAATGTGTACTGAACTCACAAAATCATATGTCAGATGTGACAGGGACACGAAAAAAAAATGGGCCCCTAATTTCTGGAATTTAACATATCTTTTCTGGTAAATTATAGGAGATAAAGAATGTTATTAGTACAATGTAGGCCCAGAGAGGATTTGATGCTACAGTTCTAGCAGAACTGTGTTCAGGGGCAACATGAGAAGAGTTATGCATACATGCAGATGAAAGGAAAAGAAATCAAAGTAAAGGGAAAAGTTAGGTCCCATATTTATCCTGTCCTTTGCTTGAAACCAAGTGAGGATGTTTTCTTTTCAGTTTGAATGTTGTCTGTCATGAAGCAAGCATCCATGGGGTCTCTCCAAGCATCGTAAATACTGTAAATACCCATGACACTTATTGAGCAATGGAGGTTACAGTGTGGTTTTGCTTCCTTTCCAGTGCCTACGTGCCCTGTCATAAACTACATGTAGGTTATGGCTTTTGGTTTATCCACATTCAACAGTGTTGTCTTTAAAGGTCGAGCGGCCGGAAATTTACAGTTTGCATTTCTCTGGATGGGTTATGTGTGTGCATTAGTTTTTTTTTATGAATTGATGACATACGAGGATGTGCATTCATAAAATATGGCGATACTTGTCACTACAATTACAAAGCAATAACTACAAAATATTCATAACAAGCTGGCACTGAACTTTTTTTTTACGGTTAGCTGCTTGGAAACTTACAATATCCATTTCTCTGGATGCATAAATTATGTGCCAACTGTGTCATCCTTGTGCAGGTTAGAGAACAAGACAGGTCCAGTTAGTGCAGGTTGTGTGTCCCCTCTCTGAAAAACAGGTATAGAGGCAAGTTGAGGTTAGGGTTGTCCATCACAGCATTCGGGGGGGAAAACTAGATCTAGATCGGGGTAGATCTAGATTTTCGGGGGGGGGATGATCCTGGATTTTCCAAAAGTAATGGTAAATTACCTGTACAGTGTGGGGTCGGGAGCCATTTTGTATTCTAGGGTCTCTGTGGTTCAATTTCAGGCAGTACGACCCCTCTTTTTTGTTCTCCCTCCCTCTGTTTCCTCTTTTTTATCTATTTATTTTTTTATTTATTTATTTCTAACTGTGAAAAATGGAGGGGGGGGAGAGTGTCCCATGACCCCCTGGATCCACACCTGAAAATGAAGAGATACAGTCAAGAAAAACTTCAACAAAACCCCGGCTTGAAAGAATGAAAGAACAAACTCAAGACTGTCCTTGTTAAGGTAGACATCAGTCAATTCTAAATGTTGGTTTTAATACCAGCATTTATCTGTGTTTGTCTCGCCACATACACAATTTTTTCCAAGTGAGAGAAGCTATAAATAAAGTACATTGCTTTCTTTACTGTCTGCCGTTTAGTCAGAGTTTGAAAAAAGGACATGGGCTTCATTGCGGTGAGCTGTTTATCATAAAAATTACCAACAATTAACCGCTCCTTTTCTGTGGAAAATGGGAAATCACACCACGGCCTAACAGGAAATATCTGTCATAAAAGCGTGTGTTTGTGACTCATGTAGAGCAGGCAGCGGAGGTTAATCTGAGGCCGCAGATTGGTTTTGGCTACATAAGTGTCTTATTTTTGGGGAGAGAAGAATCCTGTTGAAATGATTTGTGTTGATGGCTGGATGATCATGGCCATCTTTACCTGAGAGTGTCAAGTTTCCAGAATAGTCAGTTTCAATATAGGAGGGAGCTGACATCATCACTGGTCATAATATCCCATTACCTGAATGCCTTGATGGTTGCTGTCACAAATGAAGCCTGTATCCGCATACTGTTGTCAGCCAAGATGGAAGACTGTATAGAGATGGTATGGATATAGCAGGGTTTGAAGGTGTACATTTATTTAGTACTTATTTTTCTGCATTTTACCACCAAGATAAAACTCTTTTAAGAATGGATACGTTTCAAGGTCCTTGATGCACAAACTTTTGGATGCACCTTTTTCCTCGGCTTGAATTTATGTTTGCAGGTGTTCATCAAAAATTTGCTTGAGGTTTAATATCATGAAATAGAAAAATAGAAATTAGCTATTGTATCTGAAGGCACTGTAAAGCAAACAAGGGCCCTTTTCAAATTCACTGAGCAATTTTATTTAAAAGCTCTTTATCTGGCTTTCCTCTGTTAGTTTTGTTCTTTTTCCTGGAAAAATAAATTGGTTATTTTCACACTAAATTTGCCAAATATACAATACATATAGCAAAATGGTGTTGTAAATAGACATGATCACAGTTATTGTTATTTTTCTGGTTATGCAAATGGGAATCCTCCCTTGACTATTCCATTCTTTATGACAAACCTGCATGGGGAATTTTTGAGTTTGAATGAATATTTACGGGTCTGTTTGTTCAAAGTTCAAAGATCTGTTTGATGACTGGTTTAGGAAGTTGATGTTGATCGTTGGTGTGTGTACACTGGGCACAGATTTGGCCAAATTGCAAGGGGAATACACTCGTTCCACACAGGTAACCTGTCATTATTGTCATCTGCAGTTTTAAGGGAAGAAATGATACTGTCTTCAGTTAATGAGCTTGTGGTTCATAGTATGAATTTTGTGTTTGATGTGCCTGCAAATGCAGGTCTCATTATTTGATAGGTGTTGAATTTTATTTCTTTTTATGTGGAAGATTTCGCTGCGACATACATGTCAACACTTGGACTCACAGCAAAGAGGAGAGATCGAGTACATATGAACTCGAGTATTTCAAAGATCAGTGCGGCTGTGTTCAGTCTAATACTTGGCCTCTACAAGCAGTCAAATTCTCAGTCAGTATATGTACCCTCTATCTGTAATCCACCTTCCAAGAAATGTAGCTAATCTTTTCTGGGAATCATGCAGATATTAGCCACCGCAAATGGGGGGGGGGCATTTGGCTAGTTTCCTGCATTGACCACACTGTGTAAGCAGCTCAAGACCAGGCTGTGTACTGGTATGAAGTCAGTCTTCCAAAATGGTCACTCAAGCTGAAGACTCCACAGGATGCAATAGTACATGTTTTCTGGGATATCATTTACAGTCACTTATCACAAATCTGAGCTGTGCCCTTGGCCCTGTTCATCAACTGAGCCGTCAATCATGCCCCAAGGAGGAAGGGTATCCTGGCATCCTTCTGGCCACTGGCCATTGATGTGCACTCCTGTGAACATTGGTGTCATCATTCCCCTGCTATCATGTTCCTCACGATAAGTGTACACAAGTGCACCTAGGATATGAGTAGATAATGGGAAGACACCTATGCTTTGTGCACTGTGCGATGTGTGGTTCCCGTACATGTAATGTACATTACCATAGTCTCTGTACAGAGGACCAGTGTCCTAAATGTAGGCATTTGGTACAGAAAGGTTTACTTTCCAAAGCTAAAAGGCACATTGATGTCAATTTTTATAGTGCTGCCCCCCCATGTGCAGAGATAAATTAATAATTACAAATGAAATAGATTGAATATAATTTATAAAACAAAGAAAACCAATGTAATAAACTTCATCCTGGATGATTTTGAATTCACAAATTGAATACAGTGCAAATCAATTAAGATGCTAGTTAGTCGAGCAGTTGAGACTAATTGGACATTAGCAACTGGTTAGGTACATGAATATAGAAGGCCCAAACAAATTAGTGGAGTTAGTCAATGCATTTTAATGTGTTAATATTCATTGATTTGAATTTCATGCAAGCTTGGATTCATTTCCCTAGGCATTCACACAGACATGCAAGAGTTCTGTGGGCCGAGCATTTCTGAACCAGCGGCTTGGCCCGATGGCAATTTATGACCTGTCATTCCAACATGACAGGTCAGCCCAACATTTCTGTTTGGGTGGCTGGCTGATATGTGCACATGCCAACTGTCCTGACTTGACCCCTAGGAGCATGATTAATTGGCCTAGAATGCTGTTAAATCCAGAGGTTGATGTGTTTTATGTGAAGCTTCCCTCTTTGTCAGTTTCATCCTGTAACAACAAGGTACTTTCTTCCAAATATTGTTCTTTGTGTGGTTTGTGGTGCAGGAATAAGGATGTTTAATTTAATCTTTAATTTCTAGTTTTATGGTGCATTGTTTTGGAGGAGGCCATACTGCTGGCAGTAAGGCATAAAAATAAACACTTTTAAGTTTGGAATAAAAGGACAGATTCAAAATTGTGCTTATGACCCTTCCCTGTGTTCATCATGTTGGTGACCTTGGAACTCTAAGAAGTGTATTCCTGGGACATGTCCTTACAACATAGGTTTTAAAAAGGTTTGTCCTTAAGTTGCTTCAGATTTGCCCTGAGACTTCCCACAGTTTATTTGTACAGTGCTATTAGCTGACCCCTTGAAGGTTAAAACTCTATTTTATTACCTGTGTAAGAAGAAAACAGAGTACTATAATTGATTATGCTTGCTGTATTTTTTGTTGATATATAATGTCTAGTGGCTGTACCTATCTGCTCACCCACAACCCCCCCCCAAAACCCCCACAAAAAAACCACTGGTGAAGCCTGGTGTATTTTCACAAGGGAGCATTGAATTTGTATGCATCTGTTACAACATTAATTTACAGACCTGTTTTTTTTTTTGAGGCTATTTAAAGCATTTGTATTGCTACAAGTAAGTTGAAAACTTTGTGGTCATAATTTCATAATTTAAGTGGTAAGTGGTGATGCAGCTCTTTTGGTTTAAAATTGGGACATAAATAATGATGCAAAAGTAATTAGAAGAAAGACTGTGAAAATTCATTTTTCTTGTGGTGTGATTGAATTACCATATCTTCTTATTGAATTGAATTGAATTGATTGAATTACCATATCTCCTTATTCTCGTGGTCGGACCCGGAGGTTATTCCATTTATTGCACTCACTTCTGGGTAAAGGGGCAACTCTCCATTCACTTTGTACATGGATTTGCCTTTTTAGCTGCAACATGATAAAAATAATTGAAAACTTTTCAGTACACTGTGGGAGATATCCATTGTGCATAACTAGTGAAATTTTGGGCATATTTGATGTAAAGGGTAAGAGTTTAGTCAATAACTCAGATTTTCCCCATAGACCGAAACACTGTTTTTTCCCTGTTGAGTTTCGAGTGTGAAATATGGAATAGGCCTAGCCACCAATTGACCAACCAGAGAGAAGAATCAAGACTCAGTGATGTCATCCAGACTGCGAGAATAGCCCCATGTGCTGACATTTAAAATATTTGTCACATTGTGGCTTTAATCTTCACTCATGGGACGTTTCCCGGAGTATTCTGGGATGGAATAAAGGGACATCCTGGAAGAAGGTGCTTTTTCCGCTCAGGTTTTGGTAAACAGTCTTCTCATGTGACACACATGTCAGTTTTTGAGCTCTAAACACATCATTAAATTGTCAGCAGTAATGATCCACACATGATCCGTATGTAGCAAATGACCCTTTCCACCCTGGATGAATGTTTCTAATTGGTGTTGAGCATCCTTTGTGGTCAAGTAACAAGCACTTGCGTTGGGAGTTGCTGACATGCCAGTGCTGTGGAAATATTTACACGATCATTTGCAGGTGACCTTGCAAGGGCATGGAGTTGGCCAAAGGAATTGCTTGTTACATAGATGTATTTCAGTTTATTTGAAGAAATCTGTAAAAATCAGACACAGTTTTTAGGACAAATTTCACCATGTTTAGTTTTCCCTCATAATACAGCACAGAATTTGATATCGAAGGACGAACCCTTATTTAAATATGATGTTAATTGATATTTAGGAGATACTTCTTCCGTGTCAAAACCACAGATGAGCCATGACACAGTTGGAATAGAAGGAAAATATTTGTTAATGGAGATTACTATTTCATTCCAAACAATTGCATATGTGAAATTTGGCGTGAATGCAGATACCTTGGTGTTTCATGCTCAAGGCATTTGATTGACTGGAGGTGACTGTTCAGTTTCACACGCGTGTGTAAAAGCATGGAGTAAATACCTTGCTGAGACTCAAAATCTGATTCTTGCTAATTATGTGGGGAATCCATGGCTCTTCCAAATTCTTGACATAAAAAAGTCAGGAATTTTAAATCACCGTGGGAAACAGCATAGAAGTATAATTTTCTTTTTGGATGTGCCCATGTGCACTACTAGTAACGAGACTGCAAGGATAGCTGTCACATGCCAGTGAGTCACAAACCAGATGGAAATGGTATCTTGGAGATGTGCAATCCCCAAATTTAGCCTTCAACCCGCATTGTCTTGTGTGGGTGGCCTGGTCAACCATCACGTTTGTAGGCATAGGCAGGAAAAGACTAGTGTTGCGGGAACATTGAGTCTGTTCCCCTCGATAATGCTTGGCTTCTGAGTCAGATATTTTGACAGTAGTATAAGTAAGTTAATACCTAGTTTGTAATGGAATGAAATCCCTGTAATTTCACCACCTTGTCAAGTCTGATTGCTTTTTACAATAAGTAGCTAAAGAAGGGGCATGGAGCATCGGGCAAGGACATTTAACCTTTTGGGTATATTTATTCCTACACTTCTTTTGCTGTCTACATTTTAGTGTGAAAGGTATATACATGAACATGTATGTTTGTAGTGAAAAAATGGTAAAGCGTCAAATTTATCTTTGAGAAAAGAATAAATTGGCCGTCCTTCAGTTCATGCTTTTGAAGTCCTTGACGAAAAATTATAGGACCCCCTGTCACACTGGCAACCATAAACTCTACCTGCATGTGCATTTCTTTTAGTGATGTGCCAAGGACTTCAAATAATTCCCCCCCCACCACCACCATCTGAAGCCCTGGATGTTGCTGGTGTGAAAGGAAAAATCCAAGAAACATGAAAAGTAACAAACGAGTGTCTCAAGTTCAAGGTGGGGTCAGTAGTTGTAAAACTACAGGGGAAACTACTTTGCTAAGCTGATTACCGATGTCTAGACTGTGTATGCAGTTTAATCTCCAGTCCCTTCCAAGCTAAGAAGAAAAAGATCCAGGCACAAGAAAATTTGGGGTAAAGGCCAGGCCACGGTTCCTGTAATCAGATTTTTTAAAATGGGAAAGGTAGGAGTGTAAAATCTTATGTGCAGCATTCTACCATGATGCACGATTTCCTTGTAAAACTTTGCCACAAAATTCATTGACCTTTTACAGGATACCGACCACATCCCCCTCCACTTAGCAAACATCCTGAACCACCGTGATTAACACAAATCTATGCGGGTCAGCCCTAGACTGACGCAAAGCTCAGTCTTCCCATTAAAATTAGAGCTTCATGCAATTGCGCACAGTTGAAATGTTAACCTTCGTTTCCTCCCATATTTCCCTGTAGCACTGAGGACTGCTTTCCGTGAGGTAGACGAGGAGAAACAGGGTGCAATCGACTCTTCCCTGGTACCCAACCTGGTCGGTAAACTCTTGGGAAGGCAGGTCACCAGGAACAACAACCTTATCTTCTACAACACCACCAAGAACGGTAAGAGTACACATAACATCGAACTTGGTTCAGTGTGCTGCAAACCGTGTTTTTTTAGCTGTGTGATAAGGTGACAACTTCGGATAATGCCTTGCTTTTTATATTCATTTTTCATGTTCAACAATCTTAAAATTTCAGCAGCAAGGATATTGAGTGCCCGTCGCATTAGCATAATTTATCTCCATATTTCTGTCTACATAGTCACAGGCATACTGTAATTTGATACTGTAAAGCAACATGAATGCTGCATTGGCTCTGAAAACAATGAGCTTGTTGAGAGTGATCACATGCTTTCTGAGAGGTGCATGAAGGATGTTGACATGTTTGCTGTACAAAAGGCAACAGCATGTCAAGTTGAGCAAGGCCACGCTTAAATCAAACCATTGATGCAAAGCATGCTTGCCAGAACCATCTGCACTATTGTATAATATATACCATTGTTTGATTCGCCAGTAGACGAGATGTAAATCCTGAACTTGAACACAGCTGTCCCGGCGTTATCAGGAACCATGCCAGTCAAACTGTTTCATAATATTTACAAACATCATCTCATCACAGCCATCCACATAGCCGTAGATTACTAGACACATATGATGACAAGCAGGTTTCCAGCTAGTAGACTTTTGAGGCCATGGCCATTCGTGCCAGTTATTCCATGGCTGCAACCCTAGCAGTAGGGGCTATGGTTGGGAGGTCCGCACTCCTACATGGGTCAGCTGCTTCCTGAAACTACTGCATGCTGTTTGCCGGGTAAGTGGCATTAACAGGGTTAATGCAGTCACGAGTTTCTTCTCGCACATACATGCACATGTAGTAAAGTGACTCATTTGTTACAGTGAGATTGATGTACATGCAACTCAATGCAATATGAACTTTGCAGGCTTCATCTTGTGTTTGCGCAAGGTGGGGAACTGAACATCACAACATTTTGGAGGTGATTCTAATCAGTTGCCATCAAGAAATGCTAATTTTCCTCTCAGTTGTTCTCCTTCCAACTGTAAAAAACTTTTTCGTGTCTGGCATTGTCACACACAGACAAAAATCAACAGCAGCCTAAAGCATCAGTTAGCTAAATGTAGGAATAGCCACATGGTTTTTCCAAGTAAGCACACTCTGCCCAGAGTCCCAAAAACCAGGAAGCTAAAGTTAATGTCTAGACTGGTCTGTCTGTGGACTCTTGTGGCCGCTTTAAGCTTTGAGTTTCACAATTAAAGGTACATGTACATGTACGTCACTGCCAACTTCTGATGTATATTTGGTACGGCTCAGCGCAGCTGCACATAGTGCTTGCTGAGATGTTTGTATCCATCAGCTCAACAGCTCTTGCGTGCATCGGTTGTATGCAATGAAGGCTTGATTATGTTTCGCACCTAATTTATGCACAGATGCTGTCCAAGTGTCCTTAAGTCCCTTGCCTTTTACGGTCAGCCAAATATAGCACCCTTAGCTGTTCATGCAGGGATCCCCCACAGATGAATCCAGCCACATGATCACTATATCAGGAAAGCCGTAGCTAGACTTAACGTACAGAAACTCCAAACAAACCAGATGCGTGAACCTTGTCCTCATGCACCTTTATGGAACAAAATAACAAGTACTCTATTTTCCGTACATATTTTTTATGTTTTTAGGACAAATTCCAATTTTCAAATTTTGATCACAGAAATTGTAACTAGTCAACTTCACAGATAGCTCCTCCCACTTACTTTACACATGAGTAATATATGTCCAGTTTGGTTTTGAGTGTTTTTTATAATTTTAAAGGTTTCTCTTCGTCCCTGGCATTCATTTGTCAAATGGCATTATTTTGACAGTCCCTGAAACCACTATTTGATCTATCGGCAGCTGAACAGTTTCACTTTCTCTTGCATCTCACTGCATAAATATTTTGTTGGACACCTGCTGTGATGACCAGTATTGTGTAGCATTCAGCAGGAGCGTTTTTGTGCATCGGTTTCTAGGCATTTACCATCACTAAAATCATAGATCTTTTTTCAAATGTGGAAATATGTGCACATATTTTTAAAACCTTAACCATTCAGCCATAAATCAACCATCCTAAATATCATACATGTACCCTGGTATGTGCAAATCGGTCTTAAAATAATGATCCTAAGATGGATCTGTTAGACGTTCAAAATTCAATTATCCAACCCCCTCTTTACAAACATTAGTTGTAATCAACTTGGGCAAGTTAAAGTCTCTTCATGAGTTGTATGGAGCGCTATTGAAGCAACAACAATTTGCATGTACAAGACATTACTCTATTTGAAAAGACTGCTTTAACATTCAAGTGTGTAGCAACCCTGTGGAGAATTTGCGAAATGCATAGCAAACTCGCTCAGCAGGTGATTGGAATCTGATGAACAAGTGAAGCGTGACGAGCAATATTAAGAGCAAAATGTCTCTGCATGATAATACCAAAGTGAGTTGACGGAAGTAGCGTCTAACCTGTTACTTAGAGATGCGGGCATGACTTCTTTTGTCCTAATAGTATCTCCAGCAAAATTTCAATACTGAAGATCAGTATGTGAAGCAAGCACTCGTGTGAAAGGAGCAAACCCCATCAGGACATCCCCTCTCTCAACCAAACCCCATCCATGCCTTCCTTTCATCCCTCCCCCCAAAAAGAGAAAGCTTCCCTTCAAAAGCAATTGACATAAAATCCCTGAAAATCAAATCCTCGTAGCCATCTCAACTTCAAGCCAAAGGCATTGTCAGCATCCCCTGGCCAGTGACCCTCCACATTAAGAGGGAGACACCAAATTAAAATTGAATGGCCATCATAAACATGGTACATCTTGAAGCAGGATTAAAGACCTATACTCACTTTAGTAACACATCTTCAAAGGTTCCGATATTATAGTATTGTGATTGTGCTTCAAAACAAAATAGATTGGGTTGGTTGGACCCATCCACCATGATTTTAGCTGTTATCATTCACCAGCCAGACAGGTCTCAATTTGCCACTAATTGCTGGGATATCACTGTAAACCCAACAATAACAGGATTAAGTGCTTAGTGTAGCTGACCCTGCCAATTCCAAACAGCCTTATCTCTTAATCCTGGTTAGCAGGAGGTAAAAAAAAATCTGTTTACTGAGTAGTTATTGCATTGGCTACCAATGGGCTGCTGAGATTGATGCAGTCATAATAAGTAATATAAACAGGAATAAGCCTAGAACATTAACAGCTTTAGCATCATTGGCAAAACCCTTCAGTTTGAAGGTTCATCACCTTCTGGTACAGTGTATATGAACTTAAATTATTATCGTTTTGAAGTTGTTAAAAACACATGACTGTTGAAACTGATGGTGTTTATTGATAAAATGGTGTTGCGGGTCAGTGTTATTCCAGTAGTTTTAGTGTTGAATTAAAAATGGAGTTGGTTGGACAGTTGAAGTTGGTGCGTAAGTTGCGTGTTAGATGCTCATGAGGGATTATGTGAAAATAGCCAAGTGCTGCTATTTCACTAGAATCATGTCTTCGAATGAATATAGTTGTAATATAAGAAAGAGAAATCATGTGTTCGTCAGATACATATCAGTGTTACTCTGGCATCACATCTTAAACTGCTATACAGTTTTTCCTCATTTTCAAGTTTAAACTCTCTACACCTCATCTGATTAAACTGCTTTTTTTTGCTAGAATGTTCTTCTCAAGCTGCCAGGCACTGCAGGCAGGCTTTTGAAAAAAAAAGTTATTCATCCAAACAAAACATTTGTAAACATGCACGAACAAAAATTGATCTCAGATAATCTTGTACCTGTTGACCACTGAAATGTATAGTGTACTATCCCAAAGGACTTGTTAGAAAAAAATAAGATAGTTCAGTGCCTGTCATGCTGTTTCTAGCATGAAAACCTTAAATGTCTAATGAAGCCACTTGTGTGATAGGGACCCCCTGGTATCTCATCAGAGTATGAAAAGGATTCACACTCCTGGCATTGATTGGCAATCGGTGTTCATGATAATATTTAGGGGTCCCCATGGTCTGGTCTGGCCAGGTATCTGCCACTTGTGATCTGCAGAGTGAGAGGGGTTGACTTGAAAGCAGCAGTGTGGAACTTGGTGTTCTTGAGCAGGAGACATTGCCTTAATTTCCTTCTGCTTGGCAGCCAGCGGGCACTGGTTTGGAAACAGCCCACAGTGTTTTAGCTCATGTTTACCATGGTAAAATTTCAAAGATATGATTTTACCTCAAAAAGCTCTTTGTCAGGGAAATTTATGCCAGAAATCTGGTTACATCTGAAGCGATCTGTGATTAGTATGAAGTAGGTCCTAGAACTCAAAGGTGATCAGACTTCTCTAGACGTACATGCACATCCACTTGGGTTTGTCAGACACATAACCTTTGGGCTTGCGGCTCAGAATCTCACGCACTATTTGGTGCAGGGAGCTGAACCTTTTTGAAGGGAGATACTCATTATATTACTGGGCTGCATACATTGGGGTTCACACATCACTGAGTCCTGAACACTGGGGATTGGATTTCACAGAAGACTTGCTGACAACAACCAACTTGGCTGTCACTTTTAGAACAGTCGTGAGCACCTCGTCCCTTGTCTTTCTGAATAGACCTGTTCAAGTGTCAGTAACTGTTCTTCCTTGGCTTCAGGATTTACTGTCCATGTCCCATTGATGGATAGCCTTGTTTGGGGTTTCACAAGGGACTTTTGGGCAGTAATCTCACTGTTACTGACTTTTTGCCATGTCACAGAAGATTGACTTGGCAAGCCCTTAGGAAGTTTGGATTTCCGTAGACTTGTTCTCAGTCAGAACACATCTGTTGTTAATCGCCGGATGTTCTGGAGTTTCTGTAGTGCAGAGTTTACAGGAATTCTAGTTTTGAATTTCTCGTCAAGCATGTATATGTCACATTTGATCATGAGCTTTTTTTTTTCAAAAGCAAATAAAAAACTTTTTTTTTTGGTTCAAATTCAAGACAAGTAATTGGACCAGTGTCATCTTCCTCTCCCAAGCAGAAGTTAATTTTGTCCCATGGCTGTGCAGCTAACAGAAATTAAGAAATATCATAATGATGACAGATGGTGTGGTATAGTAGTACGGGAAATTTCCTGTAGGTTTGTCAATACAGAGCTCCTTGTCAACTGACATTTTGCTATAGTGTGTAAGCCGCTAAAAAGCGACTTTTCTTTATCAGCAATTTTGTGGTAAAAGGGCCCTATTTCAAGGCTGTTGGTAGAAAATTGGTGGAAAATCGCAGCAAACTGCAGCAGAAAATTGTGCACGAACAGTTGAAGCACATACCTTTTACCAGTTGGCAAGGACTTTTGGCTTTCACAAAAGTGTACATCAATTAAGTTAGAGTTTTGTGCTTACAGGGATAGTGCACAAAATCCTTCCTAGCTGTGACAGCTTAATCAGAGACTGTAAGCACAGACATTGACATTATGCAATCTATGACATCAGGCCCAGTGCCAGATCACAACAGGGCCGCATTCAAAAGCACAGTACAATATACGTATGCATACCATCAATGATAAAGAGATACAGGATATGTCGATAACGCTATAGGTATTGTAATACTGAACATGCCCCAGGTGTTATGTTTTCTGCATGATGTATGCTGCAGTTCAGGTGAATGCAAGGAGGCCAGAAACAGTTCTTGCTAACTCATTGATTGGACGACAAATGGTTAAAGCGTGCTGTGACATGATTACATTGTCCAGGAAATATTGGTCACCGGAGCTAACCAACCCGATAAAGTTACCAGAGGTGACCTGAACAGAATTACCCACGGTTATACATGTAAACGAGTGCAATGTGTGGAAATATCTAGTTAAAGGTAGACGGTTGCCAAGAATTCCCTAAGGATGGACAGGGAAGGCATATCACAATAGTGGGTGTGGTGTCACTGAATGGCAACCTTGTTCCGCAATGATTGGCCCAAATCTAATTCACAGTTTGTAGGTTACGAAACGGTCGGGTGTTACCCGTCAGCTTCTCCCCCTCCCCTCCCCCGACGAGTTTTCCTTACGGACCGAGGAGTGGCAAGACAATGTCTTCACGCATCAGATGTATCTCGTGGTTCTCTCCTAGAGATTTCACCATTCAGCTTTCCTTTTGTGGCTGTCGGAAGTGATCAGGCCAGTCTACTGGCAGACAGCACGATTGCCCCTCAGCTTGATTAGCCAGACACAATACCTGCCTGTAAACCTTTCATTTTTTTCTTTTCTCTCTTTTTTTATCAGATCTTTGTCTTGTCCTCCCGCTGTTGCTCTGTCGGAATGTGACTAGAGACCTTGGGCTTTTTGCTAAATGCCACAAATTGAGTATTAGACTGTGCAGTCTGGGATGTAAACATATCACTGGGCGATTCTTTCCCAGTCGTGAGCCATGAAAAGATTGTTTATTTTTATTTAGTGGACTTTTCTAACAGGATTAGCCTGGTGGCTCCACAGTCCCATCTATGAAGCCCCCAGACCTGTGGGGGGATTTTTACTCCGGGGAAGATGCACCATTTCTGTCACATTCAGTCACGTACACTCCAATGGGATTTGGTCACACTGTCCAGCAAATGGCTAGAGTGTTTCCTCAACTCAAGCAGGACACCCTGCTGTGTGTGGTTTCTCTTCCCCCTCCCTGGCCCCCAGTTGGTATTCCCTCACCCTCGGTAAAAACCCCAACTTGATCAGTTTCGCATCAAGTGAATGCATCATCCTAGTGTTTGTTATCCTACCTACACTTAACACATTATATATTTATGCCCTTCAAAATAGTCTCAAACCACCAAAAGGTGATTCCACTTAAACTAAAATTCTTACTCTAATACAGTCACATATAAAATTGTAAATGAACGTTCCCATTGCAAGCATCCAAAGTGGTTTACTTGATGTTACCTGTGACATTGAAAATCATCCTTGTTTGTTACTAAGTTCTCCAGTGTCTCAGCAAGACCAGCCCTGGGCACGTTCATTTACTCAATACTTTACGTACATACATGTATGCAAAGGTATACAGGGTATGCCAGTATCGGTGTACACATTGTGCTATTTAACATGCCCAATGTATAACAGCAATAGAGGTTCTTGTCATGCTTATCAAATTGCACTTGACTGCAGTAAAACTGTGACTGTAGTATTCAGACTCACAACTGGGAGTCAAGGCCAATTTTCTGTGATCATGTTACTACATGTAACATTGCAGTATCAAGTGCACCCAAATGCAAAATGTTCTAAGTGGTAAAGACCTGCCATTGGGGTTTTGGAGTAATAAGTTGATGGAGAGAGGATAACCGCTGGCAGATACCGGAAGAAAGATTTTGGTGTTATCCTATCAGGGAATGAGAAGTTCTAGCAGGAGGTTTGTCTTGAGATATTTTCCGACCGCCTTCTGAAACAGAATTTTACCTTCAAGATTTGTTTAGTTGTCTGGAATTGTCCAATGCTGAGCAACGTTACTGTGGCAGCTTGCAGACTGGACCGTCTCATGTCTTACAGGTTTCACTTTCAGATTTCAACTTTGCCTTGACTTAACTTTGAAAGAAAAACAACAGCACCCATTGAAATAGAGTTGAGTTTCTGAAGCAGACATTTCACAGAAGTGTGACTGATATCGTAACATTTACTAAGGATGTCTTGCGCCTTGTTGGTTTGCCATGTTGATGAAAGTTTAAATAAATGTATGTTACTGTTTGCTCCCATGTGCATACATGAACTAATTACATGAGCGCCCTCTCTCTGCTAGTCTTAACTGGTTTGCATGGCACTGTGTACATTATTTGTAACAAAATGGCCATGAATAAGACTTTGTTTAGATCCAGCAAAGTGTGTGACGGTCATGATCATACCTGTGCAATTTAATTCAGTCAACACAACAGATGTCGTGTAAAAATTTAGACCTAGGGCTTCGTTTTCAAATTTTCCCCTGCAGTAAGTTCTTGCTGTTTCTAAACAGGGTCTTTATTTTGGTAAAGCAGCTGATGGTGGAATCGCTTAAACACCTTTGTAAGTAAAGAAGGTTGGAAATTCAATGTGAACTTTTAAACGATCAGTTGATACTTGATAGTTTACTTACAAGTGCATGGGCCATTGCGTCTGATTTAGTAGATTTTTGCCACGTATTGGTAACCTTACAACTTTTACATCATTAACAAAACAGATTATAGAATACTTTGTGTTGGTTTATCTTTGAAACATTCATGCATTCATTTACATATTTATATGTAACAACTCCTCAGTCAGACATTCTCTCCTGATAATTTTGTTTGTTCTGATAATCATCACAGACATTATTTTATCACTACCTGCCATTACTACATACTAATAAAGTTTATTTCTGTCCTTTTATGCTCATAGGGAAAACAAAGCCTGTTAGAACACCAACTTCTATTTAGTGGTTTGTCGCTGTTAGCTTGTGTGAATTCCGGATGCGAATAGCATAAATCCTTGAAAAACGTACCACTTGAAGGCTTAATTAGGAATATTACATGGACATGTACATTCCGTCCAAATGCTCTTTTGGAAGAAGTGTTTTCCTTTATTTCTTTATCTAATGCATATTTACATTCATGTTACATGAATACCCATCAGGCCACATAAACAGATGAAAATATTTATAAATATAGTCCCCAAGCATGCATATTTTCACCCAGTCATAATAAATAAATCTAATCTGACTGCCTGTTATTGTCATTTCAAGAAAGGGAAGTGGACAAAATAGGCAGAATTGTTTCCTGAAATGGAGCTCTGCTCTTAAAGCAATTCCTATTGTATCTCACTAAAAGAGATTGCATTGCAGTGAAATCAATAAGAAACAATGGGAAATAGATACTTTAAGTAAAAGAACTTTGGCTTCCCTGAGCTAACATGCTTTAAAGTTGAACGCCATCAAACAAAAGGTTTACTGAGTAAAGTTAACTATTTGTCCTAAATTTTGGGGATCTAAATGTGTTGACAAACATACATGTATGCTCCAGTTGTGTCCATTTTACTCAGTTTCTACACCTTTTGTATATTTTCAGTTCAGATTTTGTTTCAGCAGTCTAACAACATCTAGTTTCTTTTGTTGTATTCACACAACTTGTAGCTGACTCGAAACAAAAGTTGACCGCTGAAATTAAGCATTATTTTGGTTAAACGGTAAATTTTCTTTTGGGTTGGAATTATTATTTTCAACCACTTTCAACAGCTTAATTTAGGAATAGAGAAATCCGATTTGCCAGGCGTTGTTTGTTCAGATCTAACCTTTTCAAACTGGTGTCAGAGAGGGGGGTGGGTAGGAACCAGTGACCCCCCCTCTTGACTGGGTTGGTAAGGGCCCCCACCTTTAGCAGATCCTACTATGGGGCGGGGCTTAAGGAATCAGCCAATTAATGGCTGATACCTGATGATCTCACTATTGCCCCGCCCACGTTGAAAATTGTTCCACCTCAGTTGTACATCACTTGATGCCATCAAGTGTGTTCAGTCTGTTATGTTCTGTAATTCAGACTTCCAGTGCCACTTGGCACTGAATATCCAGTGGTACATTTTCATTATTCCAAGAATGTAATATGCTTTGTTCAATGCTTTGCATTGCATTCTTTGTGTGCAGGTGTTGTGAAGTTTTCAGACTTTGTCGCAATCATGTCAGAGGCTATGGCGGAAACCACCAACTGGGGTCGGCTGCAGACAGAGGTTAAAGGTTACGTGGGCATCGACACCATACAGGAGCAGATCAGGAAGAAGGCCCTCAAGAGGGGGTTTGAATTTAACATTATGGTCGTGGGTAAGCCTTACCATGTAATCCAATGGCATTCTCTCCTTATATTCCAGGGAGGTGTTTTATTTTGGAGGAAGTCTGAAGAGAAATAGTTGGGTCTATACCAGTGGCATGCTGTACATGAAGATATCCAGGGCTGTTGATAACTAGTAATGTAACCATTCTTTGTAGGATGGTCCGAAATTATCAAATCTGGTTAATTAGTAGCTCTGGTTAACCATAGTAACTCGGGTTAACCATAGTTCTTCAAACTTACTCTGTGGTTCTTGATCAAGCCCACCAAAATTTATGCATACAAACGCCATGGGTTCCGTTTAACCTCATTGCCAGAAACTTGAAACATTACCAGCAGGTGAATACCTTCAGTGTCATTTTTACCTGTTGTGCTTGTACGAAAATCTCTGGGCCCATTCTCTAAGAAGATGACGTTATATGACACCGATTACCCCAGTCAGCAGCAATGTGACATTGAAATTTTATTCAATTGTAATACTGTGTGAACTTACTACCAGAATCAGGATGACCTGTCCAAATGTGGAGCACTCAAACCTTTGACCTCTTGAGCCAGAACAAATGAGTTAAGCCTCAGCCTTTTCTCCCATCTTTGTCTCTTGTGGTCAACCTCAGGCTCCAGTGGTCTGGGCAAGTCCACCTTGGTCAACACACTCTTCAAGGCAAAGGTCAGCCGGCGGTCATGCCTGCAGTCAGAGAAGGATCCCGCCGTCATCATTCCCAAGACCGTGGAAGTACAGTCCATTAGTCACGGTAAAAAGCATGTGATACTGTTACCCCCGATTGTCAAACCTACATAACCATTCCTTGAGCATCTAGCCTTCGTATAAAAAGGATACACAGGTCCTGCAGTAATGAGACAAAAATTAAACTGAAGAAGATCTTTGATAAATTTCACTCTGCTTCACTGGTGGGTAAAGAAAGAACGTTGTCATGATATCTTCACTCAAGAATGTTTTGGGTTATTTGTACTGAATCCCTGGAGTTCATACATGTATGACTACGATTATTGCAGACATATTGTTGCATACTGCTGTATACAGCCTGATGATTCTTTTAAGGTCTTGTAAAGTCCAAGTCTGTCATCTCCTGTGGCCAGGCAATGCTAGTCTGACCATCAGAAAGGAGAATGGCATTATTGAGCAGTTGTTGACTGCTGATGATGTAGGCCATGCTGTTTTATACCCAAGGGACGCATTAAGCCTGAGACAGTCTATGAATCCTCTTGAGGGTTAAAACACATTTTGATAATAATAAAATAGCAGCAGTATCAAATTCCTCAGATGGTGCCTCTTTTCCACATGCATAGCTCGTCATATTTCCCATTCTCCCCTGTTCACTATGAATATGATCCAGTGTGTAATCCTTAGTCAGCATGTCATAACAGACTATTTCCTGGTTATCAGTGGTTTCCTTGCTGAACTCAAATCGGCACACCAAGTTTTGAGAGCTCAGTGACCCTTGCACAGAACAGGTGCTGAACTCAAACTTTAAGCTAGCAGAGTCAGTCATTTTAAGATTCATAGAGGAAAAAAATAAGTAGGCCTGTCTGTTGTAAGCTATATCTCTAGACTTTGCATGCAGAATATTTCAAGATATATTCATGTAGAGGTCAACATTGAACAGTATTACAAGATACTAGACGATTTTTAATCCAACCCGAACTGGGACCAGACTATTCTCAACCAGCAGTTGTCCACATCCACTGGTCAGACCCAAGAGCTGTCCCAGCTAACTAGTCAGACCTCTACCAAAGCAAAAATATTGTTTACTTTTGGGTCATAGGTGTATTGTTACTTGAAATTCTAATCCTCCTTATCCGGTTCGTAAGTTTGATGTCACTTCAGTTTAAACCACGCCCACTGCACATGTGAACTGCACATATGGTTACATGCATTAATCGCCGTTTACACCATGGAACCAGAATTTAATGCACACCTTCAGCGATTGTCCAATGAGAGCCTGCAAATTGTGGCACGTTTGCCCTTGTGACAAAGTCACTTATGAACCGGATTGCACTGTCTTTTAAACTTGCAGTTATCGAAGAAAACGGTGTTCGGCTGAAGTTGACTGTCACAGACACACCAGGCTTTGGGGATCATATCAATAATGAAAACTGGTGAGTTGATCCAGTCGCTGTTCAGCGTTATCTCAAAAGTCTGGTTTTTTGGGTGAATGGGTTGATGAGAATTAAGTCAATATTATGGACTGTTTTCATTAAGCATTTGAATGCTTTGATGCTTTGTTGCCTAGCAACAGTGCTTCTTGAGGCATACATGCTTGTTTGTCCAAGTATGGATCAGAGTGTGCACACAGTCATGTTTTTCTATACCGGCAATAATAGGTCATCCTGTCTCCTCATAGTCCTACGAAACAGCACTTTTACACACACTGAGCATGAAGGCCAGTAGAATGACCACTGAGGACACCAGAATTATCCTTAGGCCTCTGTGTTTTGTCCCTTGTGGCATAATTGAACATTTATGTTTATCATTTTTATCTGACAATATGCAAACCCCAAGGTGCAAATTAATGGGGATTTCGCTGGGCACGTGGCAGACAGTGGACCTGTTTGCTTCATGCAAATCCAGATCACGATCAGAGCCTGCCAGATGGAGAGAATGAACTAGCATTAGGATCACCGATAGAAATCCAGATCCCTGTGAAACAAACAGGCCCAATGGCATACAGGCCCTCAGCCCATTCTGTCTCTCTGTTATCAGATGAGGGGATACTTTCGCACAAAATCCTTGACTGGGCCCATATTCTTGATGTCGGCTTGAAGTAGTGCATATGGTATGGGCAACTTGTGAAGCCACTAGCTTGTGCCTTGAATAGATGTGTTATTTCTAGTCGTTGCTACCCTGTAATTAATTCAGACATGGCCTACACAAAGACATTGTTGTGCAGTTAATTTTAGTAGTTATTGGTTTTGATGATGTTTTCGATTAACTTCCATCTCACAGTTGGCTGCCAATCTTAGAATACATTAATGAGCAATATGAGAAGTACCTTTCGGAAGAAATCAACGTCAGCCGGAAAAAGCAGATTCCAGACTCCAGGGTTCACGTGTGTCTGTACTTCATTGCTCCAACGGGCCATGGGTGAGGTCTAGGAATTGTTGTAGGGAAGCTGAGTTATTCCAAAAGGGTTTCCTGTATTTTGCCAAACAATAATTTGGTCCTTCCTTGCTGAGTAAAGATAACAAGTATTTTCTGAGAGTTAGTGGGGAGAAAAACTCAAATGGCTCTAATGAGACACATGGCATGGACCTCATATTTACCAGTAGAGGTATCTTAACCACTGAACAACTAGGAAGAAGAATTAAATTGGCAGAGTGGCTGATTTCTCACCTTCCATTTTGCGACCTAGGTTCAAATCCCACCTGAGCTGATGTGTAGATTGGGCACCTGGATATATCTACTTTAAGTGGAAGATCCAGCATTTACAACAAAGGCAGTCCCTGGCATTTTGAAGAGGGGGTCCGAAATGGAATTGAACCTGAACTTTCAGTGAGATATCACTTGGGAAAAGCATAGAAATAAGGAAAAGGTATCTCCCATACAAAAAAATAAGCAGAGAAACAGGAAGGTGGGCACGTGTTGCCTGCACCCTTCTCTGGATCTGTTACTTGGTTTCCCTTTGATATTATTTCTGTTACGGTAGCTGTTTGGATCAGCAAATCAGAGATAAACTGTCCCCTCTATGATTTTAGGGGTGTGGCACAGTTAAACTTGTTTAATTATTTCAATTCCCCCTAACACTTTTCATGCTCTCTGCAGCCTGAAACCACTGGACATCGAGTTCATGAAGAGGTTGGACAAAGTGGTCAACGTGGTGCCGATCATTGCCAAAGCAGACACACTGACGATTGAGGAGAGAGAACACTTCAAAGCAAGAGTGAGATTTACACGGATGCAACATTTTTCAATTGCTCACTTTCTTTGATCTGAACAATGGAGTCTGTTTTCTGCAGTGCTTAGCAGGGCCCTGTGCAGTCGCGCTGTCCAGTGGCAAAGAGTCAAGTTTGGGAACATCAAACTCAAGATTTGTTAGTATTGCTACAGGTTGTAGGTTCAAATCCAACCTGGTAGGGTTGTGGTGGGCGTGTCCTAGAGTAAGAGATATTGTCACTAGTTGCTGCATGAGGCCAGAGATCATTGCTGTGCCGCGGTTGTTGGTCTGAGTGTATTAACGGCACCAATATTAATGGACATGCTGTTTCTTTTGTAATTATTAAATTCTGAACTCCCAAGAAAGTGTTACCACGTTACCATCTAAGCAAGATCCGTTTCACAAGATGTTAAGGTGTTTTGTAATTTTTATAAACATGTGAAAATGTAACAATTACAGTCATTTGCAAAAGTTTAACACCATCCTGAAGTTTATTGGTATTTCTGTCACTGGGCCTGCATTACACTGTTTCACTGAATGATTACTTAACATGATTTTACAGTGGTGCATAACATCAGTGTAGTGTTATATACCCATTTAAATGAAATTTTTTGCAAAGGCAGGTCTTGTATGACATTTTGTTTGCAAGGCAGCATGGGTAAAAAAAGCCAGTCTAAGCAATCAGAAATAAGGGAGGGCACACTGAATATTAGACTGTTAACATGTCAAATCATGGAAATGTAGTCAAAAATGTTCAACCAAGGTACCAAGGTTACACATTGAAATAAACATAGGTTGCCACGATTGATTGGTTTAAGTTTGGTTTTCCTTCAGGTTAATGCATTTTCTGCATGGTCCTAACCTTTTGCAAATGACTGTACTCATCAGATAAAACAAGCTTTGAATGAGGCTGGCATCTCGACATATCCCATGAAAGAGCTGGAGACGGACGAGGAGGACGAGAACATCAACTCGCGCATCAGGGTGAGCATCAGTCATTTACTTAGACGGATTTTGAACAGCAGGGGCAGTTTGCACTGGATCGTTTCTGTCAGTTCATCCCCTCTTAACCTAGAGTTAGGTCGTGTCCAAAACAGGCTTCCAGAGCTACGGCTAGGTCTATTGTCTACGAGACTCCACACATTTCCAATGGAGTGAAGACCTAGACCTAGCTCTAGACAAGAGATTTGGATGCAGCCTTAGTGAGGTTAATTGAATTGGCTAAGTTGACAATCTGTATGAGCCATCAAAGTCAGTTGCATCACTTGAGATACAGGTGGGCATTGGGCATTGGCGCAGCAGTTGGATCATACATCAACAAAGATGGCAGCCACACATGCTATTATTGGCCCTAGTTTTGCTCATGATTTTTTTTTGGGGGGGGGGACATTGGAAAAGTGGTGACTTGGGGGACTTTCATTTGTTTTGGGGCATCATATAAATACCCATGTCCAATAACAACAATTCACATCATTGTGTTCGTCCAAGATGGATGGTTGAATTTGTTACTTAATTTAGTGATGCATGATGAGTAATCCATTGTCAGAGAAAGTACAGTGACCTGGGTCAATCTGTCATAATACATTGATGGTCAATTGTGCCAGGAATGATTAAATTGGCTCCAGGCATCCTCTGCTTACCACAAGGAAAAGGTTAGGACTTTAGGACTAAAGAAGGTCGTCATTTTGCTGTTTGATCACCAGGACCAGATGCCGTTTGCTGTGGTGGGCAGTGACAAGTCACACCAGGTGGACGGCAAAGAAGTGCTGGGAAGGCTGACCAACTGGGGACTCATAGAAGGTAGGGAGATATCAGGCTGTGTCCGGGATCTCATGACCACATCTGGCTCTTTCATTGACTGTGCACTAATGGTTTAAGATGCTGTTTAGCCCACTCACTGATAGAGGGTTATCCACTGCACGATTTGTATGTAAGCAAGTTTACCAGAACTGTGGTTGCAATTATCCCCAAATGACTTACAAAATCAGTGTTGAAAAGTATACTTGGTTTAAAGATAGTTATCGGACTCCCTGTGAAATTATTCTTTCCGGCAAGCTGTCATTTGAAGAAAACAGTGGAAGAGGACATTTCCAGCAGTTTGTCTCAAGATGCATTTCTGGAAATTGCCATCAGTACCGGTAGTTCATTTTTAATTCAGCAAAGTGCTTGCAAGCGTTGACATGACGCACGTGCACAATTTGTCAGTTCAGGGCGCAACATTGCGTAGCAACATTCAGCTGTATGCGAGCAGGTCCCAGATGCTGAATTCTGGCACAATTCAAACATGACTTGGCAATTTTTGATTTGAAATCAAGACCCTAGAATGTTGTTCTCGGAATGTGCATCACTCACTGAGATGAAATTTGATCAGGTTAGTTCTCAGGCACTCTTCTTTAGAGTTTGAGCATCGTTGTTGCCTCAAAGGAACATAATACACAAATGATAAATGATGGACTGTACCTTTAACCTTAGTTCAGGTTATCTTCACCAAATGGAGGCTGTGGATAAGGTTTTTAAGAAGTCTAAATGGACTATTTTAGCCAGCCTGCAGGGGTTTGGATATCAGGAACTCACGTTGTACAGCAGGAAGCCGGGACCATGGCTTGCCATGGCGACATTTGACCCTAGTTTGATGAGGGACATTCACACTTTAGTATTAGCATGGAGGTACATGATTCATCACAATTAAACCACTTATTAAGCAATGGGTCATGATCAGACTTGCTCCATAGTCAAGCCGTATGTTGCCCTCATGCAGTTATTCGCAGGATAACTCTTGAACATTAAGTTGATAAAAGAGCACCCTCACTTTAAAGGTTTAAAGCAAAGGTATGGTCCTAAATCCTTGCAGGAGCACAAAGCATTTCTATGATAGCTTAAACATAACCTCGGACAGTGTACATAAAGAGACCCATTTATCGGCAAAGACATATGTTCAAAGTAGAAGGAAGCATCTTAACGTCAGTCCATGATCAAAGTGTTTTTTCCATCACCAGAGGGTAATATGTTACCTGAAATCATGGATGTCAGAAATGATGACATTATTAGACCTTCTGCTGGTAAAGTCAAGACTTTCACTTGATTGTTTCATCAGTGCCACATGCTAAGATCATGTATCTATCTCCCCGCCCCCTTCTACCCAGTTGAGAACCACAACCACTGTGAATTCTCCAACCTGCGCGACATGCTGATCCGGACGCACATGCAGGACCTGAAGGATGTGACGCACTGCATCCACTACGAGAACTTCCGCTTCGAGAGGCTGAACGCTCGCCGGAAAATAGACAAGGGCGAGGACCAGGAGAGCAGGTGCTGATGACTGAAGGCACGTTGGTCCATTGGTGTCTAGATGAAAGCTGATACATCTACCAATTCAACAAAATGAAGATCTCTCTTCCATGCTCTGTGTCTTTATCATGTACCTCACGCTTCTTCAGAATGAAAATTTTGAAAAGTTTCTAAAAGTAAAGTTGGTGTTAGATAATTTTTGTTTTGGAATAATCCCTACATGATTAATGAAATTGGATTGAATAATACAATTTTATAATCAAGGGGTCCAGAGAAAGGTTAAAAAAATGCAGTTAGATTTAAACAGGTGCGGCTCTGGAAACAAACGTTTCAAATACAATACATAACTTGAAGCATAGATCAGAATTGTTCAGTGCACAGGACTTTCGATGGTTAAATTGAAATAACATAATAATTTTGTCAAGACTTGTTGAAGGCAAAGGTTGTCTGGTTTTTGAATTCACATCAAATCTTTGGTCAGCTGACAGTGAGTGAAGATGTATTTGTGTTCTAAATCACACAAGACTTTAACACTGTGACCTGTTCATTGACTTGAATATTGTGTGACGGGACTTGCAATTCTGTAGAGTCAATTCAAAGTCTGACTATTATCCCATTGCGCGAGGGTGAGAGTGATCAAACCAGTGAACCAACCAATCCAGCAAGTTATTGAGTAATGATTTAATGTCAAATTGGCTGCTCCACTCTGCATTTACTGTGTTAAAATGAGTTTTGGCACTGATTGTGTCTTTGTAATTTAGGTGGAAATAATAACAAACGTACACACAATATTGCATTAAACTTAACTGTAACTTTCAAAACAAATGTGTCAGAATTTTTAGCTGATCTTTCTGCACTGGCACATGATATAAAACCCACCGTGCTTAACTTTTGGTGCTATACATATTTTCTTAAACATAAAGCCTGTCCACATGGAAGTAATACTGAAAAAGGATAATTTTAACTTCCTGACATTAGTAAAACTAATATCCAATACTGTTTTTTCAAGACTTTTTTCAACATTTGTATTTCACATAAGCATTCTCCACATAAACATTACAACTTCAATACTGCTTGTTTAATTAACTCTCAAATTATTATCACGGTTATGTTGCTTTCAAAAATCTATTTGGTAATCAGTACCAGTATTGTAACCTTACATATTGTTATTTTACATTTATTTATTCCTGTTTCAGAAAACACTTCTTTGCTTTTTTCAAACAGGCCTGAATATTTCATAGAAATATGGCTGGCTATGATGCAGATATGTATATTAAACTGTTTGGAGCATTGTGTAGGATTCTGTGAACGAACTAATGTTGTCCTATAACATGAACATTGGAAAGTTTATGTAGAATTTAAATGTTGTTTTGAAATTGGCAATTTTTTGTGGGGGGGGGAGTGCTTGAACATAACAGTACATTATTCATCCTAATTTGTGCTTGCAATTCCCGGTGAATGTCCGGATTCTTTCAAGATTTTGTTTCTTGTAATAAAATCTAACAGGAAATGCTTGATGTCGATGTCTTCAATTTAATTTTCAGATGACATTTTCAAACTTGAGCTGTTCCACTTATATTACAAACCTTAAAATGCTTTTTTTGTCATGAAGAAATCTTTTCATTGGAATCTTTCCTGAGACTTTTGTATTTTTAAAATACCATTCTTGAAGAGTAACATTCAATTTAATCAACATGTATACAATTTGAAAAAACGTGACATTGAACATTTAAGTGCAAGATGTTAGTCAAGAAGCCACTAAAAGTTAGGCATCAAGTTGCAGAATTTTTTATACATTAATTTTAAGATGTGGAGTTTTAAATGTGGTATTTAGACAAAGAGTCTTTGTACATAACCCTTTTTTGCACATTTTTGAATGTGCAATTATGCTTTGAGCCTTTTGAATTGTTCATGTCAATTATCATTATTTTATATCGGTAATAACTTCCATATCAGAGGTAGGTATACTTAGTAACTAACTGTTTGTCAAAGCATTGTGCTGGTCTTCCATCGGACAAGTTCTCTGTTTTAGACATTTTTTTGCTTTTGTATGATGTAAAAGTAACATCTTTTTCCTTATTTTCAGAAAAAGATCAATGTGCCTTCTTCTTTGCTGCTCTACTTCAGTTATTTTGGATTAACTTTAGAGTTTGGCATTTATTTTTATGACTTTGTATTTGAAAAAGAAACACCTACACAAGGGAACAAAATAAATTTCCTAAAAAACACTTAAATTCTGTGTCTATCCTCTCATGTTCTGTTGAAGCATTTCCCATTTTCATTTTGGATTTTAAAGCGTAGTTTTCCTTCCTGCAGTGGTTGAAGGGGGGGGACTTTGGGGTTCAGTTAGTGTGTCGGAAGGGCTAGAAAAAAAATGCAATAAACGGGATGTCCCTTTAATTTGAGTAACAGCCGCCTCGTGACGCGTGGTGGCGCTTTCAAAGACCACTTTGTTTTTTGTTTTTCTGGGAAATCCAACTCAACGAGTTAGCACGTTGTTGAAGAATATTAAAATTACCAACGCTACCGATAAACAACCACCGTAAACTTGAAAAGAGCTGGGTTGTAAATCGCCACAACACTCTTGCACCTCGTTACAGATTCCAACCTCGATGCCGGATTAGTTGAATGACGTCTTTTTAGTTTGACAAGGGCATTGGTAATCGCCGGTTGATGAGGAAGGAAAGAAATGCAGGAGGTCTCAAAAGAGACAGCGACGTCAGCATTGTCCAAGTGCTTTATCCCCGTTGCTCATTTGCTGGTGTTTGCTTTGTAGTAACCAGCATGACCAGAGATTAGTAATAATGGGAGGGATTTACCGCAATGGTTGGCTGCGCATGAATAACCCTTGTCAGTCTGGTAGGTAGCCCTAATTTTCATCAAAGTTATTCTGCATTTAGAATGTTGGGCCTTGGTTAGTACAACTTCTTGTATGTATGCAATCACTGACAATGGTCTCTGGCGCACCCTGATTAGTACAGTGGGGTGTCCTACAGCAAGATTTTATGTCACTACACAAGTGAATGTGGTTGAACTTTCAGGCCAAAGCAGGTACACATCCAAAAGGAAAGCTAGTATGGTGTACTTATTTTTCTTATAGACCTATTCCTATATTTATATGTGTAGGTCATGGAAAATGTAAAAAAGCCTTGCTGATGATGTACTGGTTTGACCAAGGTGACTTTTGTAGACTAACACGACACTACACTTTGGCTTTAGCTGAGGACTCTGAAATGTTGGTAAGTGTAGTTAATATTATAAAATTAGGTCCAAGATATTCCTGGTAAACCTTCCTTTGAGACTCATCTACATTTTTGTTTTGACCCACTTTTTAAAAACTGTTTACAGGGTGTGAATCAGTCAAAAAATTCCTTTAAACAAATTACAAAAGGAACTTGGAAAGAACATTGCTGAAACATGCATTGGCAGTCTTCCTTTGATATTTTACTGAAAGGTTTATGAAAGACAACTTGATTGTTCTCTTGTGGTTTGCTTGCAGATGGACCAAAATGATGGACCCGGAAATTATCGAGCAACTCCGTCTGAGCAGCGGGTTGGGCAGCGGCAAGCGGGGCTCCTTGGGGGGCCTGTTCCAGCAGAAACGGGACCGCATCAGCCTGCTGACAGACCCCCTGGCGGTGGCCCACCTGAACCAGCTGAACCGGGCCGCCCTGGATGAGACAAGGAGTCTTGGGTGTGGGGAGGATGCAGGGACACCGAAGATGATGGAAGAGGCCCAGAGAAGACAGATGCTGGAACAGAAGATCGCCACCTACAACCGTGGGAAGAATGGACAAGCTTTCATGGTGACGATGACAGAGGTGAGGAAAGAAGGGGGGGGTCAAAGTTTGGAACCAAGAACTGTATGGAATTCTTTTTTTTTTGGGTCTTTCTGTTCTTGTTTTGTTCCACAAGCACAATGTAAACAGGCATGTTTTTAACACAACATGCTTTCCTTTAATGTTATCTACCTTGCACCTGTAAAAATTTACCTATTTAGATCCACCTTTGAGCAGTTTTCCATTGGTTGCACAGGTACTGCATCACAGAAAAACGTTGATAAACATGGTCATTTAAAACCCTTGACAATAATAACACTTCCTAATTTGCCAGTGAATTAATCCTGGACAGTGAAAAGTATTTACCAACCTAGCTTGTCATTCAGTCCAACACATGCCTAAAGCCGAGTTGAGAAGGGTAGGGAGAACGTGGCATGGTGTGTTCTGTGAGCAGTGGGGTTAGGGATGGGTAGGGGACGGGGCATGTGTGAATTGCCTGAGGCAAGGGCTAATAACTCGTGGTCACTCAGACTTTGTCCACATTTGCATAACAAAAGTTTTTTAAAGGCAGGTATTTGCATTAAGTCACGAATTAGCTGAGGCTTTCAATTGTTTATACGGAGGAAACTAAAGTGTGCGCAACATTTTGATTTCTAAACCTCAATAAACGTGAGTGACCCTGCATTACAAAATAGTCACAAATGGCCAAGCTTCCATAATGAAAAAGACAAAGGAGACTGCCATTGTTACAATGGCACATACCATATGTACCATAGGTACCTTCGTGAGGTAGCCAAACCGCGCCAGTTATCAAAATGAAGATCTTAGAATGCTCTTCCACTGTATATAAGAAACAAACAAGTATAGCAAATACCATAATTTATAACACTCATATCCTAGGGTCTTTTGACAAGGAAGCAGTTAAATGTACTTGAGATGCATTTTTAACAGGCAAGATTAAACTTAGAGTTATAAGACACAAAGTCATGTTATAAGTTGTTACATTTAAGATAATAATAGTGATTGCATGTTTTCCTTTCAGACCCTAATCTATCATCTCTCAAAATGTGGACATTAAAAATTTTCCTCCTTTTGGTAGTTAGAGCATCAGGGAGACATTGAAATGTCTCCCTAATGAACAATGTCTCCCTAAAGTTGAAAAATTTACCACAAAATGTCTCCCAAGTGACCTATTTGGAAATATTAATGAACTTATAATGATAACTTATCTTATAGTTTTTAATAACGGAACAAATGCTGATAATGCCCTTACATGTGGCTTAGGCATTAGTCGCATCCATTCTCCTGAGCTGGTCTTAAATGCATGTTTGAGACCAGCGAAGCACATATTTGTTCCCTTATTAATGTTCACGTACATGTATCTTGAATCACGGCCTTTATGGAAAGCAGTTTTGTTGGTGATGAGACTACACTATGCAAAGAAAACAGCAAATTAGTTGCAACAAATGTTTTAAAAAATGAATACTTTTATTTATTTATTTATTTACAAGTAATTTGGATTTGTCCCTTTTTTTTATCTGTAAGTCAGTTTTTATTATTAGTTGTGTTTTATTTTGTTTTCCATTATACCTGTAAGTGGCGGATCTCCGCTGTTGGATATCAAAATAAAATAAATAAATAATAAATGAATAAAATAGAATGACTGAATCAAAAGTGTGAAGAGTACGAATTAGATTCTGAGCTGACAACAGTGACAGTATTGATTAGGTCAAATCTTGTCAACAAACCAGGGTATGAACTTCGAAGGGGCATTGAGATTCTACTACGACGACGGCAGCAAGACCACGGCCAAGGCAATATGGCTAAGCAGCCGCGTTACTGTGCTGGAACTCTTGCCACGCATTCATGAGAAATTTACCATCTTGGTGAACGGCCGCTGGAAAACTGTCATCTACCAAGTCCAGAACCAAGGTGAGTGCAGCTGTCAAAATGCACAATGTAAATTGTAATCTTGACCGTCCTTAGCAAGGTGTGGTATCAACAGTAAATAATGACAGTGTTTGGAGATTATATGACAACATCCACTTTTAGCTCATGGTACGGAGCGGTTAAAAGTAACTCACAACCATTTCTCTCAAAATTGGTTTTCTGTTGCCCGAAAGTGGCTTCAGATTCTGTTGATATTTAAAGATAAAGTGCACATGCTGTTCACTCAGATTTTGCACAAAGTCTCTGATACAGTGGTTAGTTGCCAAAGGAATTTCCATTTCACTCACTTGTGTATCTTCTGTGTTTGTCAATTGTGCGCCGCAGAATTTGTGCTACTTGTGGTTTTGATGGGCTTGTCCCACCATATTGTGTGAAAATAATGATTTGGCATATGTGGTTCCATGATGCGTGACCACGAAGGGTCAGGATTGTACTTGTGCTTCAGTTCTTTTATGAAATGTCCTGCAATTAAGTTGTGAAAGAGAACTGGTCTTATACCACAGAAAACCTGGCCAAACAAAATGAATCTGTGGCTTTCCATGTACGGTATTCAGGCATGCAACTTTCCCCCCCCCCCGGATCAGCTGATTTCCTTGTTTTCCACTTTACACTCATGCCATTGAAATTTGAAAAACACTGTATACAAAGTCTTGTAAAGATTGGAAACTCCTCATTTTTGGGTCAAAGTTCAAGTTGCATGCCTGTGCATTTTTTGTGATTCATATAGTTCAAGCAAAACTTTATGAAGAGCTGTGTTGTTGACACTTTTTCGAAATATTGATTTTCTTGAGTAAATGTTGAAAGAATACGATGTCCAGTAACAAATAAAGTTGCTCGTTCATAACCTACAGACTACGTAGTTCAAAAGGTGTTTGTTAGTATTTTAGCACAACAGCTCCATAAATTATTCTATTCACCTCAAGTGACATACTGTACATGTAGCAGGCTAGTATGTTGATTACACAGCTTTCGACTTGTCCAGTCCTAGCTACGCGATGCTCACGTGTGAGCGGTCACATATTGACCGGTCACTTTTGGCACTTACAGCGAAAGAGGAACCTTCATCTATGGCATACAGTACATGAACACATGCGATGGGTTGTGTTGTGGTAATTATCCATAAATTTCAGTCTCAAAAATGCACGAGCACACTTCTAGTAGCTCTCACCTGCCTTCTAATTTGAATAAGGATAAATCGTGGACTAATTTTTTTTTGAGTGGTATCTCAGTGGAAAGCTCATAACATAGCCTCTCCTGGAGAATTATGAATTAAATTTGAACATCTATTTTCCGGAGGTTTCTCACCAAAAAGCAAGGAGAATACATGTACATGTATCTTTAATCAACTGTTCAATGTACATACATGTTTCAAATGGCATCCCTTTGTCTCAGCCATAGTTAGCTTTGTAGTTAGCTTTTTCTCTCTAGAGTAAATGTACATTTATATGATATAGAAGTTAAATTAAGCCCTTTTGAAAAACCCATTTTTGTGGGCGTTTTGGCAAAAGTGTTGGCCAAAATCTGCTTGACCACCTCAAACATGTCAGTACCCCAGGGGAAACCCTGCTACATGTCCACAGGACTTGGGATTTTTGGATTGTCATGATACTTAACTGCATTTGTACCTCACATCAAATGATTTACACGTTGAATGTTTGATATTCAGTATTAGCTGAGCAAATGTTTGACTTTGAGTCCGATGTTTGATACTCCACATTCACGTAAGCCTCGTTTAGAGTGCACCGAGTGCGCGGGTTTCCATTTGCCCTTATTATACACAAGTAAGAATGTTTTCTGCGTTTTCACATCGTGGTGAATCAGTACATGTTTAGTCAAAAGAAAGATGTGAGAAAAACTGTGAGAAGTTGCTCAATTTTGAATTTATAGGTAGGCAGTTAAGCCTGCACAATATGACGTGTAACACTCTGAAATGAAATTCATGTCATAAAAATACATTAAGAATGAAACAAAAACAGTCAGAGAAATTGACAAACTACAAAAGTGACAAGCAAATGTTTGAAGAATGTACTGAGTGTACACAGTCTGATGGATTGCTTTAAAAGCCTTAAGGCATGTACAAGAAACCACAGGTGATGATTACTTCTAATTCTGTTTTATACTCTGGACTTGTCCCTTTAAGACGAGAGTGATGAGTCTTTACTTTCTACACACTGTGTCGCGCTCACCTTCTATTTACTGTTTTTTTATAAAGTGTATGAGTAAAGTAAACCATTGTGTGGTGTATGCTCCAGCAGTTGTGTAATCACTCCAATTTTGAGGAATAGCTTTTATTACATTATAAATAACGACAAACTGATGTTCAGGGGTAATGTGTGCCGTAAGGTAGTGGTTTTTGGTCACATTCGCTGTGGGACAGATTTTATCAAATCTTAGATCTACATGTATTGAGATGAACCTGACCAATGATTGTGAAAATGCTACAGGCCTGATTACACAACTAGCTCTCAACTGCTGGTTTCCTGTTCATCAGACTGTTTTTATAATACAAGCCTGCCCTCTGTTGCCCAAACAGGAAGAGGTTAAACTTTGGGGCAGGCGGTTTGTCCCAATGTGGATTGTGTGTGTGCTTTTGCGGTACGTGGCGGTGAGCCAAGTATTGATTGTCAGTGTCAGACAATACAGAGAAGACCCTAGGCACACCAGAGAATGATTGGCTCCCTACAAGCTGTCACTATACGGCCTTGAAAACAGCCCAGGTGCTTGGCCAGCGTGAATCACAGACAGATATCAGAAGTATTTTCTTGGATATAAGAACATTTAACTTAAGCCAGCAGTTTTTACACACCATGTGATATATGCAACTGTTGATTGCGTGTACTTTTCATCCTGTGTGCAATTGTAAAATTGTGGAATCTTCACTCGGAGGGATTGTCAACATCTTCTATCATTAGCAAGTAAGTTTCATGCCCGTGTTTTGTATTCTTTGTACTATTCCTTGGACTATTGTATGGCAGAAGTGAAGTAGACAGTTAAGAATGCTGGGAAGGTTTTGCAGTAGCTTCTGCCTTGTCAAAAGCTGCCTTGATGGTACATTTCCTAAATTGGCACCCTTGTTCTTATTTTCATCCTGTAGCAAGACTTTGAGGGAATGTTTTGCCAGAAGGAGAAAGCAATTTATCGCAATTAACTTGAAATGTTGAATCATCAATGAAACACTCCAAATCCTATCATTAGGTGTGTTTCAAATGTGCTTGAAAAGGTTCTGATGAAAACTTTGATTTTTTTTGTCTTGATGAAAACTCCCTAATTATTTTCTTAACATGACAGCATTTTTTACACGGACAGTGTACGGTTACATTTACACGTTGCGTCAAGATCTATTCTCCATACAATTTGCCTTTTTTTGTGTATTATTGTCAACCATTCCTCTGAACCCTTTGCTGCAGCAACCCAGTGACATGCATGTATACACACAGTATGGTACTCTGCAAAGAAAGCCTAGCCAAAAAAACAAACAAACAAACAAACAAATAAAATGCTAGGGTTATGTTGGCAAACAAGGTGCAGGAAAGTGTCTGATGGGGGCACATTGTTCAAATTTAAAAGTGAAACAAGTGATACTTTTAAGAAGTGGGAGGGCAAAGGCTCCCCTCATCCCCACCACCCCCTCATTTTTTCTACATCCTATTCACAGTTATAAAACCATGCTTTGTTTTCTGGACCAGTTTAACAAAATGGAAAGAGAGCACTTCGAGTTTATCGTGGCAATGCATTGTCTTGAACACTGGTAAAGTTGTTCATTTTGGTCTAGTTCTAGAGAATCATCCATTTGTGGATCAGCAAAAAACACCTTAAAATATCACACATATAAATTGTATTATTCACCTCTGTCCTTTGTATAGAGTGAGCAAACTGTCTTCAGGAACAGTATTTTAATACTCTCTCAAGAAATTTCACATGCATGATGATACCCTCGAAAAATATCCTCAGAAAAGGGACCGCTGTGCGTGCATCTTCAAGTGGTTGGTTTATCTAGTCCTCTGGTGTGTAATGTGATTGCCACTTCTGGCCACCAAGCACTTACTGTAGAATGCAGGAGCACGGCTTTTACACGTACCCCAGCTGTTAAGAGCTTTAGAGGGATGCATTTGCTGTTGACTTAAGTTTGTAAGCCCTGGAGAGGGGAAGAGGGGAACGCAGGCTATCCTCGGTCAGTATTTATTCCACATTTTGATAGACGCACATCTGCATGTCATAGAGATCTCAGCACTCCACTGTTCAAGAAGTGCGCATATCAGTTTGCTGTTCGTGTTAGAGTAAGGTATCGTGCCTTCGAAAAAGTGACAAATTGCTGAGTCAACACCACTTGAGAAACGAGCCGTCTGGCGAAGTGAATTTTTGCCCACAATGAACTGTATCGATTGCTCATAAGTTGTTACTCATTACTCTGTAACTTATAAATGTTTTGTTCTCTCCACCAACATGATTAGTGGAGTTCCCTAATGCGGCACACTTTGACTTTATTCCTAACTGTCCTCAAGTGACAATGTCAGGCACCTTTATTGGCAAGCTTCATTTCACTGTGTTAAGTACTTGTTTTTATACTTTGCATTGAATATCAGGAGAGGAATTTTAGTGTCTTGAAATTCATTTAAAATTTGGAAACGTGGCGTCAGGAAATTTGGTCACAATTTCCTGGAATGTTCCCTACTGAAGGGCAGGAAATTTGGTCAAAATTTCCTGGAAAGTTCCCTACTGAAGGGCAGTGAAGACAAATTGAAATAACTTCCATATTTGATATGCAGTGTTTCCTTTGATATGAAATTTCTTTCACAGTTGTTATCTACATGTAGACTTTCAGATGCTTCATTCACATCATTTCAAAGTATAACTTGGAACTGATGTTAAATGATAACTTTCTCAGAATTACTTTACAGGGGCTTCTTTTGTTCAAACAACATTCACTTTTGAAATATTTGCTAGACTTAAAAATACCTCCTAATTGTCCTGGCAGAATGTCA